CTACCTGGAAGGAGTTGGACTTTCAGGGGCCTGGAATATGGTGGCACAGTACAGTGAACTTCAGGTCTCCCCCAACGCAGCTCGGAGCCGAGGACAACCTAGGAAAGCCCTGGTCCCCACCTGCGGTGCTCTCCTTGGCGTCCGCGTCCTCGGATGCCTCCCATTTGCAATATTGACGGGTGTATTGGGAGGGAGGGATCTCTGTTAGTCTATCTGGAATTGTCATCCAACAGAAGATTAAATGCTGCCTGACTCCTTGTGATTTTCCGTCTTCACATCATGAAGTTTTCAATCAAATCTCAGCAAAGCGCATTTAGCTTACAGAACCCCAAACACTTATCTTTTCAAACCAGGGAATTTCGACCTTGTTTACTTCATACGGTTCCAGGATATCTCCGTGCAAACCTGTCCACGCGCAGGGTGTGAGATGGTTTCCAAATCCAGCCTCTCTCTGATGTTTGCTACACAGCTGGGCTCCTGGCTGAACAAACGCCCCAGGAAGGATCTCAGTAATGAATAAATGCCAATTATCCGAGGACTTATCCCAGGGCGGCAACCTTGCCGGGTCAGTCTTCGAGATGCCAGGGCCATAGCTGCGGACAGAATTGTTCCGCCTTCTCCTTCACGGTTCTGGGGAGGCCCTGAGCGCCCCCCAGCTTCTGACTCTGGAGGCAGCGGGAACAGAGAGGGGCAGCCACTGTGCATGTTTCCAGTCTCATCACCAGACCCCCTGAGGAGGCTGTGCCCCGGGAGGATCTAAGAAACAGACGACACCTCCGTTTCTAAAGACCTCAGCCCAGACGAGCTGACACCGAGCCAGCGTTTATCCGTCATTGAGTTGACCTGACCCTTGGAAGTTCCGCTGAAGAGACTGATGAGTTTGGGATAAACAGCAGCCGGAGAGGATGAACGTGTCCTCTCTGCAGAATGCCAGGAAGGAGGCAGGCCACCACCAGGCCAGATGGGGACATGCGTCCAGCGACATCCAGGTGGAATAGCGGGGTGAGGACCGGCCACAGCTCGTCTCACGTTTACTGTTTTGTTCACGCAGCCCAGCCCTTGCCCTGGCTGGAGGGTTTGCACATGGCTGTGGGGTTCTGCTGGGCTGGGGAGGTGGTGTGCAGCGGAGGAACTGAGCCTCCTGAATGAAGCACTTAGGAAAGTCCAGGAGCATCGCACTGGCGGTTCCATTTTCAGCTTCTCGCAGCATCTCTCTCTACATGCGCTTTTTTCATCTGATGTTTTACGAGCACGCACGTGGAGGAGCTCACGTCGCTGAAAAGCCAAACGTCATTCCCTGCCAACTCTTTGGATTTAAAAGCCTAGATTATTGCTCAGACATGTGAAAATGGAAACCCCACTCCAGGTGAGAAGCCTAACGGCCATCGTCCGGCAGGGGATTGGAACTCGGGTGAAGTTTCAGCTGCTTCTGTGGCCTGTTGTTCATCTACTGCTGCTTGCCTGCCTCGGAAGCTGGCCTCGTTACTTCTGTTGGCGTTGGGATCCTGCCAAGGTGTCATGGCCCACTCAAAGCCCGTGGCCAAGGGGTGGGGGAGGAGGTTGGATCTTTGACTCCCCGGTGGGCTTACTTCTGGGAAACTCACCCTCTGTGGTTCAGTTGGTCAGTCATGTCTGACTCTTTGTGACCCCATGGACTGCAGGCTTCCCTGTCCTTCACAATCTTCCGGAGTTTGCTCAAACTCATGTCCATTGAGTCAGTGATGCCATCCAACCATCTCATCCTCTGCTGCCCCCTTCTCCTGTCCTCAATCTTCCCCAGCATCAGGGTCTTTGCCAATGAGTTTGTATCAGGTGGCCAAAATATCAGAGTTTCAGCTTCAGCATCAGTCCTTCCAATGAATATTCCTTTAGGATTGACTGGTTTGACCTCTTTGTTGTCCATGTGACTCTCAGGGGTCTTCTCCGGGACCGCAGTTCGCTCTGGCTTTTAACAAAACGGGACTGAGCATGAGAAGAGGGCTGACTGGTGACCGCAGCCTTGAGGAGCTTGCAGTGAGGTCCTTGCACTTTGCTAGGTGCTCATCAGGGACCCCGTCTTCCCTCTTGCAGTTCAGAATTGAGTGCAGGTGAGGCCTGAGACTCCGGGAGTCCCGCCCACCCTAGGGGGCCCTGGTGGACTGTGCCAGATGGGGACGTTTATGGACAAAGTGGCACCAGACATCAGCTGGGTGGACATGAAATCAGTTATGGATCAACCTTCTTGCTGCATGTCCAGCACAGTGCAGGTTATAGGGGTCTGTGGGTGCTTCCTGACACCCCAAACCCAGTACCCACATGAACAATCTCACTGGAATTAGGTAGAATTGTCCAGGGAGAGGTGAAAATGAAAGTGTTAGTCACTCAGTCATGTCCAACTCTTTGTGACCCCACAGACTGTAGCCTGCCAGGCTCTTCTGTCCATGGGGTTTTCTGGGCAAAAATACTGAAGTGGGTTGCCATTCCCTCCTCCACGAGGTCTTCCTGACCCAGGGATCAAAACTGGGTCTCCTGAATTGCAGGCAGATTCTTTACTGTCTGAGCCACAAGGGTACTTGGCGGCTTAGAAACTTTGTTTTTAATGTCCAACGTGTCAGGAAAGTCTAGCACCTAAAGAGAAAGCAGTTATCCTTCCTTCAGCCCTTCCCTATTCATGGCAAACTTTGAGAGAAGGCTAAATTCATGTATAATCACAGCAAAAGTACCATTAACCCTATCAAGTCTACACCTGTTAGAACTACCAAAGGTGTGAGGAAATAACAGCTCGGTAGAACAAATAGCCCTGAAAGGGGTTAGAAGCCAAATGAGCTAGAATTCCCCATGCGGAGTCTCCCAGTGAATGTTCACACCTTAAACTCTGGAAAAAGCCTCTAACTGGGTTTGGAGAATAAAGTAAAGAACGATCTTTGGAGAATGAGCTCGCCTCCTGCTCCTAGATTTACATGGGCTTTCTTATTCTTCAACTGCAGATGCATGCGCCCGTATGAACTTGTTTCCAAGATAGAAAATATCTCAACACACCTTATAGATTATACATATCTTCTCCACTGCATAAACACGATCACTACAGGCAGAGGGCGGTGGTGAATGAAGCTCTGTGCATCACCTTGCATGGCAAAGGGGATGCAGAAATCAATATTTGTTGAATTGATTCAGATACTTATTGATTTACTAATTTTTTTTTTTTTACCTGCATTGTACATAGCTAGGGAAGTCATTTGGAAGGGGGCAAGGAAATGTTTTGTTTTGGAAAGCTGCTGTAAAATTTAACAAGGCTTTCTATGTGCTAATCACTGGAGATCTGAGAAATCATTACAGGTGGTTCTGCCACGGGAGATTTTATAGGCTAAATTTCAGAATGGGAAGTTTATATGGACACAGACATCAATAAATGGAATTAAGTGTAATGTTAGTGTTTTGGGTGAAAATGGATGCATAAAAGATGAATAATTATCAGTTTCATCTGGAAAACTTAATAGAAAAAAGGGCATTTGGCTAAGATCTTATAGGATGAATACATGTATTCAAGGTGGATGGGAAGCACATGGAAAGTAATAAAGCATTTTAGACAGAGAAACGCAATTTCAAGTAAGTTAAAAATGCATTTTTTCACTGAAAACTAAAGAACTACCTCTACCATTTGACCCTGATGAAAACACTCTTCATTATGTTTGCTTTGTATTTTTCTTTATCAGTAAACCATAGACTTTCCTGGCCAATACACACAGCTGGCATTACAATTTAAGACTTCACTTAAAAAGTCTTTCCGTACCATCCAATTCTGTAGCGACATTATTTGACAAAAAAAACCCACTATCCAGTGTGGGCCTTTGTAAACATTCAGTAAACTACATGTGGTATACATATGAATGATTCAATGTAGCTATTTCTTGGCTCACAAAATGACACTAGTTTAAAAAAAAATAAAGCACAGACTCTAGGATTTAGAAACTTGTTTTAGGAGCAATTAGAAAACAGCACAGGCAGAGTCACTAAGAATAGTGTTCCCACAGTGTTCTTTGTGGTGTGATGGTTTGGAAGTCAAAAGGCTGAAATTTTATCCTTCCTCACCCGCCACCGTTAATTAGGTTTGGTGCTTTCAGCACCACATACACCACCTCTTAACCTCAGTTTTCAGCCTATAAATTTAAGCCAATGATAAACAAATCATGCTGGAGTTTTTGTGCTATATATGGTATGAGGAATGTGAAAGCATTGCACAAAGAATATAATTATTATCACTAATGATTAATAACATTTTCATTTAATGTTAATAATAATTTTGATCATTAATAACATTAATAACAATAATAATTATTCTAATATGATCAGGGATGTCAATCGAGAAATAGTTCTTACTTTTAAAATGCTAAAACATGGAAACATTTCTGTTCTATGAAAGTCCTCGATTTGATTTATTTCACAGAAGTTAGCCGCTTACCCAAGTCTGAATCCAGCTATGCACGGTACATGTTGTGAACAGATCTTAAAACCACATAGGTGTATGTGTGTGCTCAGTTGCTAAGACGTGTCCGACTCTTTGCGACCCCAAGGGCGGTAGCCTCCCAGGCTCCTCTGTCCATGGGATTTTCCAGGCAAGAGTACTGGAGTGGGCAGCCAATTCCTTCTCCAAAATAGATGTGCTGGTGCTGCTTAGTTGCTTAAGTCGTGTCCGACTCTGTGCGACTCCAAAGACTGCAGCCCGCCAGGCTCCTCTGTGCATGGGATTCTCCAGGCAAGAACACTGAAGTAGGTTGCCATTTCCTCTTCCAAAATAGGTGTATATCAGACTTAAATTTGCAGGCTGTTCTATCTTGAATTTCTCTCTCCACAGAGGCACATGAGGATGAGATATTTAGATATGAAAAGCAGCCCACACTTTTCGGAGTGTTTGGTGTCACAAAGCCAATTCCCTGCACAGCTGACTGGGATGCAATGATTTCAGGAGAATGCCAGAGTAGGTGTACTGAAACGACGTCATGGTGTCAGAACGAAGTGAGACGATGTCAGTTTGTCTGTGGAAGTCCCGGCCTCGGCCAGGACAAAAGAGCACGCTGTACTCAGTCCGCCTGGGGAGCGTGGTGCCCAGAGACCCCCGGCAGAGGCCCCAGCTGGCCGGGCCATGGGGCATCCCGCAGGGAACAAGGCTCATCTCGCTCCTCCTGCCTGGGGGCCAAGCACAGAGCAGGTGACATTGCTGGAGGGACTGGAGTGCTGCAGGAAAGACCCTGGTCCTCCTCCCGCCCCTTGAGCTCAGCTGCCCAGCGGTGTCCGACTCTGCGACCCCATGGAATGCAGCCCGCCAGGCTCCTCTGTGCGCGGGATTCTCCAGGCAAGAATACTGGAGTGGGTTGCCATTTCCTCTTCCAGGGGATTTTCCTGACCCAGGGGTCGAACCCATGTCTCTTGAGGCTCCTGCATTGGCAGGTGGATTCTTTACCTCTGAGCCACCTGGGAAGCATCCCTTGGGCTCAGGATAATACAAAGCACAGCAAACAGCCGTGCAGGGAGGGAAGGGTGCGAGCCGTGGACCCCGCCGAGCAGTCAATATAGATTAGGGCTTAGACGTCCGAGCTTCCTACCTCTTGTAAATCGATGTGTTTTTCTGGTGTGAAATGTTCTTGAGTGTTAGAATGTGCTCAACACCCAAGTGACATCTGGAGTCTGAGTCGCAGAATGGAGGTGAGCATTAATTCCAGGTGGGATGTTAATTTAGCCTCAATAAAACACTCCAGTAAAACTAACATTTGAACAGGACCCAGAATCCAAGAAGGAGCCAAGGATATGAAAGGAAAAGAACGATTCTAAGTGCTTTGAAATCCACACAATTTGTTTTTTTTTTTAAAGTGTTGGTTTTTTTTCCTACTAGTAGATTTTTCCCACTTCATCATTTCATATGGCTAGTCCCGACTCGAGCAGCAGTCTTAGAGACCATCAAGTCTTCACTCCCCAGTCAAGAAGTAAGGCCGTCCCTCCCAGGACCTCATAGATATTTCTGCTCCCCGTTTTTAGGAGCATGACCGTACCCTGTCATGGGACAGTGACCCCACTGGGTGAGGAGGTCGTGGGTTTAAGAACTGGTCTGGGGTTTTACAGGGTCTGCCGGTGTGACCTTGAAACAGCACTGCTCTGACCTTGGCCTTCTCATCTCTTGACCTGGGGCAGACTTCGCTGTTGGTCTAGATGATCCCCAAGGTGCCTCCCACAGTGTTTCTCAGCTTTGTGGCCACTTTTATAAGGTCAGACACACACTTGGTAACATTCAAGTAATGGGTGTATAATTGGTGAATTTGTCATAGGCAACAGAGCCAGATTATTAGTGAGAATAAAGTTTGTTAATGCAAAAAAAAAATGTGGACTTGGCTTGTGGTCTTTAGGATATTTGCGAAACCCACCTCTCAGTGATGGGCTTCAGTCTCGGGAGTGGTGGACATGAAGTCGGCTTCAGGCTGCCTCTTCTCAGGCTCTGTGGGAGGGGTCGCAGGGGCTACACAGGGAGGACCCTCAGCGTGAATCTTTCCATCCGGTGCTGTAAGTATCTAATTTCCCAACTTAACCTACAGCGATCTTTTTGCAGGGACATATACTTTTCATTCACATATTGAGAGGCATGTATTCTAGCAGCCTGCTGTATCTCATCCCTTTCCTCAGATTTGAGTATTAAATGTGTCCCCTGGAAATTTGGGTCCAGTGGCTTTCCTTCCTATTGGTGTTGTTCTGTTTCTCTTCCCCTGCAGGTGGGGAATAGGTGATGTGGTGGAGAAATGCTTTCCCATATTTTTAAGTGCAATATTAACTCATGTCAGATATAACAGGTAACAGTGCAATGAAATGAACTCAGGAACAGCAAAGCCATTAAGAAAATGTACCATTAGGAAGAGGGCTAGTGTTTCCTATGGAAGAGATTCACCAGGTACGCACTTGTACACGTTCAAGGAAATGATTTAAAAGTTTATAGCCCTTATAATTGCACTCGTTTTAAGAAGCAGAGACTTTTGGAGCCAGAAACATTTTCCTAATTCACTTTATTGGTAACAACGTCTAGTTTTTTTTTTATTTCTATGTGATGGAATCTCAATTCACATATAACACGTGGACCTATGTGTACTGTGTGAAGAGGAAATAAGAGGCAGCCATCATATAATGTCAGTTCTGTTGAAGTCATGCTGCTTTTTCTGTTTTCAGAAGGTATAAAAGCTAAAGCTTGAGGTTTTGTTCAAAACAGTAAAAGCACATATCAAATATTTCCTTTTCATAATATCATAGTGGAGGGTGTTGTGTCTTTCTCCGCAATTTAACATAAGTAGAAATTGTCAGTCTGAAATTGACAGGGATTTGTTACCGTCAACAATGAGTTGCTCACATGTGGATCCTCCACCAACACAGTCAGTGCCTGTCAGGTGTCACAACAGTAGGAAAACTTAGGAAACTCCAAGGAGAAATACAGTCATTTGGAGCTCGGTGGGTAAGACGGGGAAGGCGTGCAGCAGGAAGAACACCACCGCCGCAGAGCTCTGCTCCCGCCGCTGGCCTGCTCTGGGTGGGGTCCAGGCTCAGGGATCTCAGGGCTGGTCCCCCGCTCAGTGCTGAGCATGGGGTTTCCTCCTGGGCTTTGTGACCACATGGTCACGGTCACTGCGAGAATCTCCTTTTCAGGAAGACAGAAACCAGGATGCAGATTGAGCCCCGCAGGGCAGGCCCCATGCGGACTTCTCTTTCAACTCTGAAATGTAGTGTTTCAGGCTCTCATGATGTCCACACTGGACATCTGTCCAGCTGTGTCTCCCTTGGGCCCCAGCTCTGAGCACCTGTACTGGGATGGGGTGTCTCAAAGGGTATTTCCCTTTCTCATTACCTAGCACGCATGCTAAGTCACTTCAGTCGTGCCCAACTCTTTGCGACCCCATGGACTGTAGCCCCCCAGGCTCCTTTGTCCCTGGGATTCTCTAGACAGGAATACTGGAGTGGGTTGCCATTTCCTTCTCCAAACCAATATTAAAAAAACTAGGATCTGGTCCCATCACTTCATGGCAGATCGAAAGGGAAAACTTGGATGCAATTACAGACTTTATTTTCTTGGGCTCCAAAACCACTTTGGACAGTGATTGCAGCCACAAAATTGAAAGACGCTTGTTCCTTGGAAGGAAAGCTGTGGCAAATATAGACAGCATATTAAAAAGCAGAGACATCACTTTGTTGACAAAGGTCCTTATAGTCAAAGATATAGTTTTTTTTGGTAGTCATATATGGATGTGAGAGTTGAACCGTAAAGATGTCTGAGTGTTGAAGAATTGATGCTTTTGAAATGTGGTGTTGGAGAAGACTCTCGAGAGTTTCTTGGACTGAAAGGAGATCCAACCAGTCCATCCTAAAGGAAATCAACCCTGAATATTCATTGGAAGGACTGAGCAGAAGCTCCAATATTTTGGCCACCTGATACAAAGAGCTGACTCATTGAAAAAGACCTTGATGCTGGGAAAGACTGAAGGCAGGAGGAGAAGAGGACGACAGAGGATAAGATGGTTGGATGGACATGAGTTTGAGCAAGCTCCAGGAGATAGTGATAGATAGGGAAACCTGGTGTGCTGCAGTTCATGGGTTTGCAAAGAGTTGGACACGACTGAGTGACTGAAAAACAACAACAAATATAAATGAAAGAAAGCAAAACATTTAGTCCCTCAATGGCACCAGCACCAATCGAAAATGCTTTGTGTTCACAGGTGGCTGTCGGCTACCATACTGGATAGCTCAGTTCTAGAACAGTCCATTCCCACAGACTGTTCTCCTGGTCAGAGCTGCTCAAGACAGAGAGAAACTTAAGTGAGCAGCAAAAGAAATATGAATTTAAAGATACAGTAAGTTCCATGATAAAATCAAACAGGAGGCTGAGACAGAACACATCAGAGGTGCTGACTTACCCAGAGTGGGAAGGAGATGGTGTGTAAGCTGAGAACCCAAAGAGGAGAAAGAGCCAGCCATGGGGAGACTGGGAGATGGGGAGACATTCCAGGGGGAGAAGAGGAGTTGCCCAAAGAGCTGGCCATGGACAGAGCTGGGGACGTTTAGGGCAAGGCCATGGTGAGGAAGAGAGGGCTGTGTGGAGAAGCTGGGAGACTTGTGTGGTGGATAGAGGTGGCCCCTCAAAAGTCACATTCAAGTCCTAACCACTGGTCCCTATGAACGTGACCTTCATCTTGAAGGAGGGTCTTTGCAGATGTAATTAAGCTAAGAAGGGGTCTCACAGGCTCCGGGTGGGGCCCCCGCTGGTGCCACCTGGCTGGGAGTGGCAGGGTGCCTGCTCACTGCTCTCCACATGGCCTTCACTTGGTGACCTTGCTGCTACCGCTCACCTCTGGTACACGCCGTGTACACTCTCTGCACTCTGGTACACTCTGGTGGGGAAGGGTGGCTGGAAGTCCAGCCTCCCACTCCCACCACAGGGCCTTTGAGGACACTGCAGGGTAGGCTGGGGTGCCCTGTGATAGCCCACCAAAGGTGGGATCTAGACTCTCCATTCGCTGGCAGGGGGTAGGTGGACGCAGCTATTTTCTATGGTGTTTGGCTGGAGTAGAATGAGTTTTGTCAAAAGTGTTCATTTTTACCAAACTGCCCTTTTGTCTGGGACTTCCCTTGTGGTCCAGTGGCTAAGCTGTCACACTTCCAAGGCAGAGGGCCAGGATTCGGTCCCTGGTCAGGGAGCTAGATTCCACATGCTGCAATGAAGACCCAAGGCAGTCAAACAAATTAAAAATAAACAAATATTTTAAAAAAGTGTCCCCCTCCTCCTGGCATGAGCGAGGGAGGCATGCTAAACTCCCCTTGGTCTGGTGAGTGCAGGCTTTTCGGCCCCTTTGTCATCGGAGCTGATGGGCATTTCTGGGCTCCTGGCTGTCTCGTCTAGTCTGCACCTTAGTAACTATGAGACGGACATACACGTGGATTTCAAAGGTGCTACTACTGTGTGTTTCTTTGGGTTCCCAAGTCCCTCTGGCCTGCTTTCTTCTAACTTTTAGGGTGTCCTTGTGCTTGGTTTAGCGATAATGAGCAGGGATTTCAGGTGTCCTTAACAGGAGGAACAGTCAGTATGAGGTCTACTCCATTTTTTTCTGGAAGTGCAAGTGTTTAGAATAATTTTTTAGGAGTAGAGCACACTATTCCATGACCTCTTCCATTGCCAGGGCTTCCAGA